ACGTTCCGCTGAGATTTCTTGGCCATGATTGCACCAGGGCCTGTGTAAGGAGGAGGCCTAGACTAGACAGGACCATGGGACAGGAAGGACCAATGGACAGGGACATCCAATCCCATCCTCCAGATGCTCATGGCTAAGGGACTACACACAGATCAGCAGATGGTCCCCACCAATAGGATCTGCCACCTCTCACTGGCACAGTGATGGCCACTAAGCAACCTGGATATTCTGGAAGAGTCTCCATTTATATTGACTCCATAACGTAATAATCTTGAGGACATTTTTGTCTTCAGTCCATTTCAAAAATTCCCCCTCCCATTCAGAACTGGTTCAAAAATGTTTATCCACCCAAGTCTCCCAGCAGGTTGGGAATCTGGACCATTGTAGGTAGAAACTGACTGGAAGGTGGGTGTCCCCGGTCTTCATGACCATCCCACTTTCCTGCAGGCGGTTGCTGTCCTTCATTCCATGCACCTCTCCGCTCTGCTGCTGAGGAAAGCCTGCCCATTGGGCTCTGGTGTGTGCACACTACACTAAGTGACTGGGGAGGACTTAGGGTGACAGATGACATTCTCATAAGGAACTGGGCAGCCTGGCAACGTATAAGGACATTGCACACCAAACCACCATGCTGCTGGGCTGTGACCTAGTCCCCTCATGAGGATTCATGCTGATTGTTAACGTGGTGACATCGAGAAGCATGTGGAACATTAGAATAGTACACTTCTGGGTAGCTCCGAGAGAATTAACGAAAGGGGAAACACCTATCCACAATGCAAGAGACACTATCCCATGGGGGGAGGGGTGGCGTAGACAGAATGAAAAGAAGACAAGGAGAATGGCCATGAGGGAAGGCGTCCTGTATTCTCTACTCCCTGGCCATCATGACTTGGGCTGCTCCACTCCATCCTTCCCTCTCCACCACAAGGGACTGAGACATCTGAGGTTCCAAGTCCAAATAGACTTTTTTCTTCAAGTAGTTTGTGTCATCTGTTTATCACAGCCACACAAGGTCAACCTGACAGTCACCCTAAGTCCCCTGCCTCTGAAGGAGATGAGGGAAGTATCTTGCTCATGGTTACCAGGGGGAAGAAGATATCAGAGAGGGCCATGATGGATAGTCTGCCAAGGGCTGCACATACTTCTGGAGGAAGGCTCACGAGGTAGATACAAACAGCTTGATGGCCAGCCCCAAGGGTCATTGAGTATTGGCTAGAAGTCTGTAGATGAAAGTTGGGTGAGGTGTTACACACTCTTATTCCTAGCACTTAGGAGGCAGAGACAGGCAGATCTCTGTGAGTTTGAGACCAGCCTGGTCTACAGAGTGAGTTTCAGGACAGCCAGGACTATGTGGAGTGACCCTGTCTCAAGAAAAAAACAAATAAACAAAAAAGGAGTCGGAAGATGAATCCTATGTAGTGATTTTCAGCTCTATCTCCCCCAAAACTACCAGTGACTAACGTCACCCGGAAATACTTGTTCATTGTAGAACCTGGCTAGCCACTGTTTATGGTCCTGGGTCTCAGGAGTCACAGCCTCTAAAGAGTACAGGTCCGGCTGGAGAGAATGCTCAGAGGTTAAGAGCACTGTCTGCTCTTCTAAAGGTCCTGAGTTCAATTCCCAGCAACCACATGGTGGCTCACAACCATCTGTAGTGAGATCTGGCGCCCTCTTCTGGTCTGCAGGGACACATGCAGGCAGAGCACTGTATACATAATAAATAATAAATCTTTAAAAAAAAAAAAAGAAAAAAAAAGAGTACAGGTCACCTGTCACTCAGAGGGCCAGAGACAGTGTAGAAGCCAGGTCCGCCAGTTTATCTGTAGGATGTGGATCTTGGCCCTGCCCAGCAGGAATCACTTGCCACATCCCCGGGCTTTCCAGAGTTGGTGGTGTGCTTACTTTAGCGGCAGTTATCACCCTTCTGATCTGCCTCTGACACCTCCAGGGAGACCTGCCTGGGCCCCCCATTCTCCCACCCGCCTGGCTGCCTTATTCTTCTCCTTTGGCTTTTGCTGTTATACTTCCACGAACAGATCCATGGTCACGATTCCCACCTTTTGCAAACCTTGGACACACCTCCCCCACCCCATGTAGACTCCCTACAGGGAGGCGTATGGGGTGCTGTGCCGAGACGGAAAGCAAGTCTGAAAGATTTCTTTTCTCTTTTTCTAATCTCGGCCTTCAGAGGTGGGCAAACATTACCTTTTTTCCACCGTCCCTCCCCCAACAAAACAGAATGCGAGGCTGTGTTTGAAGAGCATCCCTATAGAAAGCTGTCTCACAAACAAATTCTTCCTCTGGTTTCTCCTATGGCCTGAAATTTTCAGTTAGAAATTAATTCCTTGACTTTTTTTTTTAATTGCTGAAATATGAAACAAGCCTGGAAAAAAGCAGTTGTGTTTCACGGAGCATGAGGCCTATTCTGAAATTATTGTGATAGGGAGAGAGAGAAAATCTGAAGTCTCCAGGATGGAGGGACTTGAAAGCCATCAAGAGAAGCCCCCCAAAAGAGAAGCCGCAATCTCTGTAGGAAAGAGTCCACCCAGAGGAGCCAAGCTAAGCTCTCTCTTAGAGTTTTGCAAATGCCAAGCGCATCTGAGACAGGTCTCCAGATAGCAAAGGTGGGCAGCAGAGATGGGGTGTACTGGGTGAGTTCACACAGTGAGAGCCAAGCCCGACTTGTAAGGGGCTGCACACACACCAATTATGCAAGGCCAGTAGGACCCAGCTTCGCCTCTCAATGAGTACACACTGTGGTTGGAAGGAAAACAAGAAAATCAAAACTTGTGTTACAGAACCGGGCGGTGGGGGCACACACCTTTAATCCCAGCACTCAGGAGGCAGAGCCAGGCCGATCTTTGTGAGTTCGAGGCCAGCCTGGTCTACCAAAGTGAGTTCCAGGACAGCCCTGTCTCGGAACCCTGTCTCAAAAAAAAAAAAAAAAAAAAAAAAAAAACACACAACAAAACAAACAAACAAACAAAAAACTTGTGTTACAGCCAGGCAGTGGTGGCGCACGCCTTTAATCCCAGCACTCAGGAGGCAGAAACAGGCAGATCTCTTGAGTTTGAGGCCAGCCTGGTCTACAGAATGAGTTCTAGGACAGCCAGGGCTACAAAGAGAAAAAACAAAACCTTGTGATACAGTTTGAAAGTGCTTCAGCTGAGTGCTGTCACATGGAGGGGGAGCCCAAGGAGCCCACATCTGACAAGCCCGGGTAGGGGACAGGAGAAGACCCATGGGCTGGCTGTTAAGAGACAGGTAAGGGGGCCTGAGAGATGGCTTAGTGGTTAAAAGTACTCCCTGCTCTCCGGGGGGTGGCCCTCTGTAACTCTAGTTCCAGGGGATTCAACACCTCTGGCCTCTGAAATCTCCTACAGTCACCCACATACAGACACACACAACTACACATTACTAAAAAGAATAATAAGGGCTGGAGAGGTGGCTCAGAGGTTAAGAGCACTGCTTGCTCTTCCAGAGGTCCTGAGTTCAGTTCCCAGCACCCACATGGTGGCTCACAACCATCTATAATGAGATCTGGTGCCCTCTTCTGGCCTGTAGAGGTATGTGCAGATATAACACTGTATACATAATAAATAAATCTTTGAAAAAAAAAAGAATAATGAAAATTCTTAAAAAGAAATGCATAGGAATTTTAAAGAGAGAAAGAGAAAGACAGACAGGTAAGATGCAGCCTCGGGAAAGTAAAAGAACGCCTAGGCAGAGCCAGACTGGAAGCAGAAGCTGGTTGGACAAGCAATGTTCTGCTCCTGGAAAACAGGTCATCAGATGACATGCTAGGTCAGGAGGCCGCTCAGCTGTTTGGCAATCCGTCCTAAAGGTCGTGTGGAGACACTTAAATCACGTTAGGAATGCAACGAGGAACTGCCAGGTCTGGTGAGGAGTACCCGTAATCCCAACACTTAGGAGGCTGAGGCAGGACGACGAAAAACTCAGGACCAACTTGGGCCTGGGCTATATAAGGAGTTTAGGCCAACATAAGGCACACAGTGAGACTCCGTCAAAAAAAAACCCTGCCGGGCCAGGGAGATAGTTCAGCAGGTACAGGCACCTGTTTGATCCCTGCCCAGACTCGATGTAGGGAGAGGAGAGAATTGAGTCCCACAAACTGTTCTCTAATTTCTATACATACTGTGGCACGCACACATACAGTCATGCATATACACAGTCACACATGCATGCACACAGTTTCTCACACACATAGTCACGTATGAGCGTGTACACACACACACACACATGTAATAAAATTATGAGGAAAAAAGGCAGACAACTACGCAGTTTGCTGTGAGCTCGCTCTGGATGCAGATGGAGTGAGTTCTAGGCAGGGAGGGAGCCATTGGGAAGTGGTGGAAGGAGGTTTCAGATGAATCCACCCAAACCCAGGCGGAAAGATAAGAGGAGGAAGCCGCACATTTGAGACTTAGCAAGAGCTGAGGGAGCGTGAAGGGACAGAGATGCTTGCTACCTGGATTTAGAGAAGGACCAGTGCTGAGAACCATGCACCAGGAAAGGGGTACTTAGCTGTCATGTGACACTCAGGTGTGAAAATCTGAGTGAAAGTAAACTCTCAGATGGCCAGCATTGCCCTCAAAAACCTCTTAAGCCAGAGGCTGGGGGCCCCAGGTTCAATTCCCAGCATCCACATAGTGGCTCATAACCATCATCTATAACTCCAGTTGCAGGGGATCCGATGCCCTCTTCTGGCCTCTGAGGGCACCAGCCATGCGTGTGGTATACAGACATACATGCCAGTAAAACATCCGTGTGCATACAATAATAAAAATAATAAAATAATAAAAATATTTTTGGTCTCTTAAGCTACCCGTAAAGTACAGGAGAGATCATGGCTTTGACTGAACCACGTAAAGCTCTGGGGCATTATTATGTGTGACCCCCCCCTCCAAACGCATGGAGAGGGGCTCACTGGAAACAAACAAGGATCAGGGCGACCTGAGAGAATGGAAGGGTCACCCACTGGGTCTCCCCCTCCGAGAACTGCCGGAGTGGGCAGAAGAAGCAGCAGAAAGTCCCTCACCACTGAAGCCAGTGGTTCTCATCCTACACAAGGGAATCCCCAGTGTGACGGGAAGCCCGCAGGGTTCCTCTGTTCTGCTGAAGAACCAAGTGAATCTCTCCAGGACAGCCTGGACGTATACAGTGTTAAAACCTCCGTGATGCACAGTGCAACTGGCTGGGCTCCGTCCTCCCCTTCATCATTCGCGATCCTGGGATAGATAAAGGGCAAAGCCGTCCTTTGGGTTTTGGATTCCTCGCGACTATCAGAGGTTCAAACAAAGACGTTTCCTACCCTCGGCTAATGACCCCTCTGGGTCTTCTAGATGTTTTCGCAGTGCCTCCTGATTGCTGGGTACGGTTGCCGGGATGGGGAAGAAGCCTTCCAGACAGTGGTTCCAGACAGCTTGGCTCTGGAGACACAAACAAACAGAAAATAGTCGCCCTGCCTCTCGGCCTGTTCAGCACTGGGGAGATGGTGGGGTGGGGATCGGGGGGGAGAATTTCAAACGAGGGCAACATTTACTAGGCTTTTCCAACCATGCTAGAATAGTTATTACTGCAAATAGCCGTCCTGGCTGCCACAAGTGTGTAATTTCAGCCTCTGAAGGAACATGTTCTCAGAGCTCCTGCTAGTTCATTCTGTTGACGCAACGAGGAAAACCCAGGCAGGGTCTCGATCCCCACCCACCACGTGGCTGGTGGCCTAGAGAGCTTCAAAATCCACCTCGGGACTTTCAACAGCAAGGAGTCTTCACCTAAATCAGGCTCTTGTCCCTCTTCTCACCTGGCTTGTCCTTTGTGTCCCTACCCCCTGAAAATGTTGTATCTCCAGACAACTTCCCTGGAGCACCTTTGAAACTTGGGCCCCCGGGGAAGCCTGATCCAATACTCAGCTTTTCATTCCAAACACCACATACTGGAAATACTTCACTTTTTCGAATGAAAAGTTTATTTTGGATTTTGGCTCACGGTTTCGGAGGCTCCAGGCTGTGGCAGGTTGGGCCCTGCTGCTTTGGGCCTTTGACAAGTCAGCGTATGATGGTGGGGTGTGTGGGGCTCATTTCTGTGGCTGTAACATGAAAAGGAGAGATGGGGCTGTGATCCCAATATCCCCATGTGGTGGTGGTGTGAACAAGGATGGTTCCCATGGGCTCGGATGTTTGAATACTTGTTCCCCAGTTGGCGGAACTGTTTGGGAAGGATTAGGAACTGTCAACTTGTGGGAGGAGGCGTGTCACTGGGAGCAGGCTTTGAAGGTTTCAAAAGCCCACACCCTTCCCAGTGAGCATGGCGGCGCATGCCTGTTATCCCAGCACTTAAGAGGTAGATGGAGGTGGGTCAGGAGTTCAAAGCCAGCCTCAACTAAGTAAGTTTGAGGCCAGTCTAGGGTATATAAGACCCTGTCTCAAAAAGCAAACAAAACAACAACAATAACAGCGAAGAGTAGATACATACACCCAATAACTTAAGAACTTCCACAAGGTCCCACCACTTAAAGGTTTCCACTGCCTCCCAACGGTACCAGGTCCCAACTATAGAAGAGACCAAGTCAGTTTATCGATGAGTCTATTGGATGGCCTTTTAGCTCAGCCACAAGAACAGATGTTGTCCAATTCCTGAGTGCAGGCCTAGGGTAGCAGACACCTTCCCCTGAGACACTCCATCTGCCCTAACCCTTTGGACATCAGTAGAACATCCCCCATGAGGTCCCTAGAGAAGAAGAGATATATACCAATATGTATGTATATAAGAAGCACACACCAATATGTATGCACATATAAGATGTATACATAAGTGCGTATGGACGTATGAAGTACACACCCACATGATTGTGTGTACAAATAAATTTGTATATATATAAGAGCACCCATCAATGCATATGAACCAGTATAGACTTTCAGACCCAATCAGAGTTCACCAAGTCCAGGAAGGAAGAGACAGGACAAGCTGGGCCACCACCCCATCACCAGGAGACCCCCAGCTTCTCCCTGACCTTTTGCTGCTCTAACACACAGACACGGCTTTGGGGTAAGGTGGGGCCCAGCCGCAAAGTTATCTTGGGCAAACATTTCTGCCAAGGGCAGGTCGGCCCTAGGCACCACCAGCTTCTGGATTTGCTATGCTGCTGGTCACCCCTTCCCATACACCCACCCAATAATAACAGGTAACTCTGAGACAGCAGCTTCTAACGCAAGGGATTCGCATCCCTGTCTTTCTGATTCCCCAGACCTCTAATGGCCTTGGTGGGGGACTAAAACTCTTGAGACAAAAGCAATTTGATTCATTGTCATTTAAAAAGTAATTAATGCAAACCTAGAGCACTTCGTGAGGGCCAAGAGGAAGGGAAGATGTCACAAAATTGACAAATTTATATCAACGTATTCATTATGAACACTCACGGCCTGCCAAATATGGTGTGGTGCGATGTGAAGCAACTACCCAGGATAAGTCAGGACCTGTGCTTTCTCTGGGGCCTTGATGCCATTGAAGAAACAGACAATTGGAATGGTGTGTGTTAACAGCAGTTGCAGAGGCAACCAGGCACTGATATTGTCTGAAGATGTCAGGAAAAGCTTTGAGAAGAACAGCCAGAACTCATCGAGTCTAAGAAGGGTAAAGTGGTGTCTTGGCCATTTTCTGTTACTTCAGCAGAATACCTAAGACGAAGGTGAAACAGGAGTATGCTAGGTTCCAGGCCAACCTGGACTGTGCAGCAAGATCCTGTGTTTAAAAAAAAAAAAAGCAAAAAACAAACCAACCAACCACCGTGACATCATGACTTGACTTTTGATGGGGACAAACCACAGTCAAGCGGTAACGGAAGGGTCAACCCTGCAAAGCCCATTATGAGGAGGGGACACCTTCAAGGATCATTTCCTAAGCCTGAGCCTTTAGCTTGTGCGCTCTACCTGGACCAGCAGGAAGCCTCTTTCCTGGCATCATCTACTGAAATGTCTCCTTTGTCCTACTCGGGGTCTGCGCGCATATGCCTGATAAACACAAACCTGGGCATGTGGCCTCGGAAGTCGCATACGTCACCCTCCACGTGGCTAAAAATAACGTACCCATCTGCTGCCTGCCGTCTCACCTGCCCAGACAGACGTCAGCCAGGTTGGCCTTGCCAGCAAACATGACTTGGCAGAGGTGGACTCCCGTGGCTCCACAGATTGACTGGCTCCCAAGCGTGTTGGGAGCAGGCACGGGGCCACCCAGAGCACCGCTCAGACACGTGTTCAAGATGAGCAGAGAGCGCTCGACCACGCCACACTCTTCCCCAGAGACCGGGGCCCGGCTGTTGGGTGTTACTGTTCCTGGAGAAAACGGAGGCTCACACTCCAGCACAGTAAGAAGGTGTGACATCGAACACCACACTAAACTGACAAGAAGTCCCCAGACACACCTGTCTACACGTGTGCACACATGCCCCCCATCCACCTTCCTGGGGACTCCTCCAGCACTGGCTTCTAAGAGGCCATTTTTCTTGAACTATTATTCCTCCTTTGCCTCTGCTCCTCCAGTGGAGAGTCGTCAAAGGGGGGAGGAGGAGAGGGAGGAGGAGGAGGAGGAGGAGGAGGAGGAGGAGGAGGAGGAGGAGGAAGGCTTATATACGTGGATGGTCTCCGCACAGGCAACCATGTCTATATTCTCCCCCATGAAGCAGTTCTAACAGAACATAGGAGAAAGGAGTGAGTGTGACACATGAAAATCTGTGAGAAAAGGGAGCTGGAGAGGTGGCTCAGGGGTTAAGAGTGCTGGCTGCTCTTCCAGAGGACCTGGGTTCGAGTCCCAGCACCCACATGGTGGCTCACACTATCTATTAACTCCAGTCCTGGAGGATCTGATGCTGTCTTCTGGACCCCACAAGTACTACATGCGTGGTTCACAGACATACATGGAGGCATAACACCCATGCACATATTAATTAATTAATTAATTAATTAATATCTGTGTGAAATCCTTCTCAATCATAAAAATGTGAAAAATCATAAAATAAGGCAGAACACCCATGCACATATAAATAAATAAATAAATAAATAAATAAATAAATAAATAAATAAATAAATAAATAAATAAATAAATAAATAAAATCTGTGTGAAATCCTTCTCAATCATAAAATGTAAAAACAAACTCCTGACGCCTATATGGCACACAACACTCCAAGGGACCCTAGGACTCGGGGTCTTCCAGTGAAGGAACTTGGTGTCCTCAGCCTTCGGCTTCACCCCCTCACTTTCACGTCTCTAAGGCCCAATGGCCCTGCTGTCTATACATCTTCTCCGTGAGGCCTCAACCACGTCTGTCTACTGGGCATCTCCACTCCTTTGTCCACCTCTGGTCCACCCGCCATCCTCCTCGCGTGCTGAGGCAGCAGGGAGTCCTCTGGGTTCCTGCACTTCCACCATCCATGAACTTTAGCCCCATTTGTCCGATCCCCAGTGCTCGACTTTGTTAGAATCGCCTCTGTCAGGTCATCTCCGCCATCATCACTAGCTCCCAACCCCACTTCCCTCAGCCCTATAACAACACGCTAGTCAAGAACACAGGTGTTAGCGGGGGTGGGGTGGGGGGGGTGGGTGTGCATGCCTTTAATCCCAACACTCTGGAGGCAGAGGCAGGCGGATCTCTGTGAGTTCGAGGCCAGCCTGGGCTACAGAGTGAGTGCCAGGACAACCAGAGCTGTAACACAGAGAAACCCTGTCTTGAAAAACAAAACAAAACAAGCCACAGGCATTCAATCTCGTCTTTCGCAGTATGTAAGACAGTTAGAGAGACCAGAGAGTCCCAGAATATACACAAAGTGAAAGGCAGCCTGGGAGAGGCAGCCCTCAGGACATGGCTGAGAGAGAGGCCCTTCAGCTCTATCATCGGCTTGGCCTCTTCCCTAAGCCTCAGTTTCCTTTCCTGTACAGCGGACATGATAACACTAACCGGACATTATTAAGGTTTACAAGGGCAAGGTGTACGCAAAGCGCTTCACGTACGGGATCATCTACTGCCATTATTCCTCTTGCTTTTTTTGTTTGTTTTCCCACTGAAAGAAGAAATTAGAGCTTCAGGATTAAGTAACCTGCCCAAAGCCACACGGTCAGTCAACAGAGCCAGGGTTCAGACCCCAAACAGCACTGTCTCAAATTGACCTCACACATTCCAGTTCTCTCAGGCACCACATCCTCACCTCGGAAAGCAACAGCCCCAACTCCTCACACCGCGGGTGAGGCACCTCCCATCTTAACCGCGGCCACCCCACCAACCCCTCCCCCATCTCCACTCCCGCTTTCCTAATGGATGGGTTGGTTACCCACCCGCTGTGGGAACTGCCAGCCGCTGCCCAAGCCCTAACAGAGGGTGGTTACCCAGTGTCTGAGAGCAACAGGCGTCTCTTTCCCTCACTCGATGTCCTCAGCTCTGTGAGACACGTACCAAGTCCTCAGTTCAACATTTGCTTGTGGGGATGTGGGGTGAAGGCCTCTGAAGCTGTTCCCACACAAGGACCTAAGGAAAGACCAAAATGGTGCACACCTCACGATCCAGCAGATCCCAGTTCCCGGTGGGGCGCCGTCCTGCTGAAGTATGTTCCTGATGGATGTAGTCACTGAACTCTACCTTGAATCTCAGGTCCTGTTCAACTTCAGCTTAGAAAAGAGTATGTGCGCTTGTGTGTGTACACACACACACACACACACACACACACACACACACACACACACACACAGCAGAGGCACAATATAAACCTCCCTCGCCTCCCAATAGTTGTGTGAATTTTATGCACTCGGCTTTAATCATAATCGAGGGCCTTGACAGAAACCATCCAAAGGTAGTTCACAGTGGAGACATTTTTTAACAATTGGTATTGATTTTAATTGTGCCAATCATCAGGACATCACTTCGACGGTATCTCCTCATCACACTATTTATCTGAAGCCAGCTGCTTTTCAAGCCACTTGTTGATTATGTTTCCTTTCAAATTTGAAATAAAAAAAGAAACTCAAGGATTCTTTTTCCATTTGAAACACGGCTTTCTTGTAGGAAGGGATACATTGCTCAAAATCTGTAAGATGTAAAAATATTAAACACCAACGTCTGCCCATAATTTCTCATAATGCGACGGGGTGGGTCCCAGCTGAGGTTTAGTGCACAGGTAAATACGAGTGTAATCAACTTGAACTTGGTCATCTTATTTTCACCTTTAGCAGTCAGAGAGCAATCGGCAGCGACCACACATCCAGGTGTGGCCATAGTTCTTAACAACCGTTTAGCGTTCCAATTTAAAACCACCGTCGCCAAGAGATTCGTGAGCTGTTTTCTCATCTGATTACCTCCCATCCGTGGAAAGCCAGGTCAAAGAATTGTCTATTTTACATATTGATGTCCATATCGAGGTCCCCTTCTAGAAAGGGGGCCGGTTGGGTCCCAGGTAAAGAAGCATCTTTCCCAGCATCGTTGGTGATGGGAGCAAGGTGGTAGCGAAAGACTCCACCTGCCTCAGTACATGCTTGCCCCTGAGACCAGCACATCTCATACCTTGGGCCTTACACCGGCAAAGCCGAGGCAGCTTCCTGAATTATGATTTTTCCCCCTCAAATTCCAGAGGTTTTGCCCTTTGGATTTCTAACGACTCCCTCAGTAGTACAATCTAAAAGGTTTCTTGGTTATCTCCAAACTTCGATATGGACCACATCTAAAAGTAAAGGGGAGATGCACAGGAGGACTGGAGAGATGTGCCAGCAGCGCTAGCCATGTGAACATGAGGACCCGATTTCATCCCCAGCATCCACGAAGAAGAGCTCAGTGTGACGTCACAGGTTTATAACCTAGCATTAGAGAGACCAGCAAACCCCTGCAGCTCACTGCACACCCAGTCTGGTCTAATCCACAAGTCCCAGACCAGCCAAAGACCATCTCAGAAACACGAGATGGACAACACTGGAGGGTGACCTCTAGCCCCCACAGGGGTACGTACACACAAAAGACAATACATGGCATATGTCTTAGTTAGGGTTTCTATTGCTGTGAAGAGACACCATTGCTGTGGGATGTTCTATATGGCAAATGTGTTGCTCTGATTGGCCAATAAATAAAATACTGATTGGCCAGTGGCTAGGCAGGAAGTATAGGCGGGACTAACAGAGAGGAGAAATAAAAGAACAGGAAGGCAGAAGGAGACACTGCCAGCTGCCACCATGACAAGCAGCATGTGAAGACACCGGTAAGACAAGAGCCACGTGGCAAGGTATAGATTTATAGAAATGGGTTAACTTAAGATATAAGAACAGTTAGCAAGAAGCCTGCCACGGCCATACAGTCTGTAAGCAATGTAAGTCTCTGTGTTTACTTGGTTGGGTCTGAGCGGCTGTGGAACTGGCGGGTGACAGAGATTTGTCCTGACTGTGGGCCAGGAAGGAAAACTCTAGCTACACACCATGACCACAGCGACTTTTATAAAGAAAACATTTTTATATATACTTTATGTGCATTGGTGTTTTGCCATGGGTGTTGGGTCCCCTAGAACTGGAATTACAGACAGTTGTGAGCTGTCACGTGGGTGCTGGGGGTTGAACTACGGCCCTCTGGAAGAGCAGTCTGGCTCTTAACTGCTGAGCCATCTCTCTAGGCCATGAAGAAAACATTTAACTGGGGTGTCTGGCTTACAGTTTCAGAGGTTCAGTCCATTATCATCATGGCAGGGAGCATGGTGGCATACAAGCATCTGTGATGCTGAAGAAGTAGCTGAGAATCCTACATCCAGCAGGCAACAGGAAATCGACTGGGACACGGAGGTATCCTGAGCATAGGAAACCTCACAACCTGCCCCCACAGTGACATACTTCCTCCAACAAGGCCACATCCACCCCAACAAAGCCACACCTCCTAATAGCGCCCCTTCCTGTGAGATTATGAGGGACAATTACATTCAAACCACCACAGCACAGGTAGGCATGGAAAATATTATAGGTCAGTTCTAGTGTGAAAATGACGAGCTGGGACTGTTGCTCAGTGGCAGAATGTTTCCCTTGCATGAGCAAGGCCTTATTTTCAGTCTCCAGCACTGGAAACAATAACCATGAAAATCCGGGTTTGACGACTGGCTGGACAGAACCAGTTAGAGCAAAGCGAGCAACTCACCAAGACCCTACAATCCCAAAGAGCCCTGCACCTACCTCCTCTCTCACAAAGCACACCTCTGAACCCGGCCTTGGAGATGGCTTTCTCTTCCATTCTTTAGTTTGGGTTTTGAGGTAGAATCTCATTGCCTAAACTGGCCTTGAACTCTCAGTCCTTCTGCATCAGCTTCCTCAGTCCTGGGATTACAGATGTGTACCAACACACACACACACACACACACACACACACACACACACACACACACACACACAGAATGCAAAATGGAAAGCTTTTTTAGAGTGTGGTCCCTGGTGGCTCCATACCCATGAGGATATAGGCAGTACAAATTGGACTCCGTGGATAAAAGATAAAAGGATAAAAGGATAAAAGGAGTTAGAGGGTGGGATGGGGGTGAATATGACCAAAACACACTGAATGTACTTAGGATTTTTTTTAATTAATAAAAATATTTTTTAAAAAATAAGATGGTAGGGGACTAGAGAGTTGGCTCAGCACTTTCTGCTCTTGCAAAAAAGCAATGTAAACATACATGTCAGGTGGCTCACAACCACCTCCACAACTCCAGCTCCAGGGAACCTAGGGCCTGCCTTCTTCTGGGCTCCTTACACAAACACACACACACAGACACACGCACGCACACCAATAAAAATAAATGTTTTTAAAATCAGATGCTTGGCTGTGCATGGTGGTGCATGCCTTTAATTCCAGCACTCGGGATGCAGAGGCAGAAGGATCTCTGAGTTTGAGGCCAGCTTGGTCTGCATAGCGAGCGAGTCCTAGGGCTACATAGAGAGAGACCGTCTTTAAAAAAAAAAAAATAAGCTCATCTATTCCCCAAATAAACTCCATTTTTCTCAAGTGCAACAAAAGTCCTTGCCTAGAAACACGCCTTCCTACCGTGTCTTTGTAGTTGATTGTAAGATGGCTGCCATTGCTTTCCAAGCAGCTACCATCTGCCTGGCACTGTGCTGGTGGATAGTTCAGGTAATCTGTACAATGCTGTGAGGTATCCTTTCTTCCTGTCTCATATTTGGAACAATGCGATTCAGAGAGGTTAAGTGACTTCCCCCAAACCACACACACCTGTCCAAAGCTGGGCCACCACATCATCCTCACACCAACACTCACTCGCTCAATGTCCACCTTGTGCTGCTCACCACGTCCATTCTCCCTCTCCCAACATCCAAACCCTCTCCCCAGCCGCACCCCGCCTCCCACCAGCCTTCAGTTCCCGTGCCTCTTTCTGATTCTCACCGTCTCAACTCTACAGAGCCTGGTGGCTGTGTGCCCACCTGGAGGCTCCTGCATTGTCCACTGTCCCGTGGCCAACATTTCTGGATACTAAGTGCCTCAGTGGAGGACTGCTTTCTCCCTCCAAATCAGCTACGGAGACTCCAGAGTCTTAGTCACCTGCCAATCTGGAAACCCATCCATCCCTTCCAGCTCCTAAGCCTTTGCTCCCTCACCAGGAGTCTCCTCTAGCCAGCCTCTCTGTCTCTGTGCCCTGCCTCAGGGGGAGGACTTGCTGCCCAGCAGGTGCCCGATAACAAACCCATTAATCCCACCTCTGCCTTCAGCGTGGCTCCGGGCTGTTTATCTTCCCTGCCCAGCGGTGAGGCAGATGGCTGGCCTCTAACTCAGCAGGCAGAAGCAGGAAAGCAACTGTACCTGGATCCCTGGGTCGTGAGAACAAGAGCACACAGTTGCGCTCAGTGCCTCAGAAAGGAATAGGGTTTGGGCAGAGGTTAATCGAAAACCAACACCACTTCTTCAGCTGCCATACCATGCACAAACCCATGCAAGTACATACATACGCTACCACACACACTACATACATGTACCTTATATACACATACAATACACATACCACACTACACACACACCATAGTTACACATGTACACACACACCACACCACATAAACTATACTCACACACCACATACATATAGCACTCTATATACATTTACACACCACACCATACACACAACACATACCACACACACCACACACCACACTATATTCACTGTACACACTCACACCACATACACATGTGTACCCCACACATGCATACACACCATGTATACACACATACCCCCATACTCAACACATGCCACACCATGCCCACACACCTTCCTTCCTTCACCCGTCACCAAAGCCTAAAAACTCTCATTTTGAGTTGTTGTCAAGCTGGAGAACTTCCCTCTGTGAGACAAATACCAGGAGGATGGGGCCTGTTTCATGCATGGTCAACAGACCCCTTCTTGACTTAATGATGCTCTTCCGTGACTTTTTTTTTTTTTGGTTTTTCGAGACAGGGTTTCTCTGTGTAGCTTTGCGCCTTTCCTGGAACTCACTTTGGAGACCTGGAACTCACAGAGATTCGCCTGCCTCTGCCTCCCGAGTGCTGGGATTAAAGGTGTGTGCCACCACCGCCCGGCCCGTGACTATTTTATTAATTTGTCCACATGAATTGCATTTTCTGTTTTGCACCGGCCAGTGTAAATGACACAGCTGGTCCCGTGGGTCACAAACAGCCAGGTTCGTGGGGACCAGGATGAAAGCAAGATTTCCACCGGACTCAGGTTAAGGGCTGACAGGGTTGCCCAAGGAGACTCAGGTCCACACACAGAAGAGTCCAAAGCCAGCAGCAGCTCAGGGGACCACCTGAGGCTGGGCCAGGCTGCTTCCTGCTCTTTTCTCCGTTTTTTTTTTTTCCACATCATTAAACTGAGGGAAACATAGACCTGAGAACTTTCAGGCCCACTGTGTCCCATAGGGGCTGGTATCCTCGCTCACATGGTTCCCACCAGCCTCCCCCACCCCAACCCGTGCCCTGGCCTTGGCCTCCGGCTACAAATCTTTCCACAGTGGCTGGAACCTGAACAACGTTGACACACAGGAAATTGGACCTGGGAACGCCAGGTCACCAGATGGAGCCCTTCCAAAGGGCGTTTACCAGAGAGACCAGAAAGCAAAGAACTCCTTGGCATCTTTATTCTCAGCCGAGACCCTCTTCCTCTCGAGGAAATGCCAGTCCCTGTGCCGAGATGGCACAAAACAAGGCCTTCCTCAAGACGCCAGGGCCTCGTCCCTTCTGCATCCCAGGGTCAAGCCTGAGCCAAGGTAAGTCAGGGAGGGAGAGAGGGAGGATCGAACACAACCCTTCAGTGTGGCCCCAGGGAGCCCTGCTGTCCTGACACAGCCTGTAGGATCCACCAATAATTCTATTTCCTCGAGGGCCTTTAGGCTTTGAGAAGTGCTAACAAAGTTCAGATATCACTGGGGAGCGGGAGGAGGGATGAAGAGATCTGTGGTATGTGAAATGAATAAAAAAATAAATAAAAATAAATAATTAAAGTTCAGATAGCCCTAGGAATAGTACTCTACAAACTTAAAGGGGTTGGTGCCCGGGTAATGGAGGGAGGGAAGCCGGGGGGCGGGGTGGGAGCAGCAGGATGTAAGGGAAAGGTGGAGTTGATGACTGCCGCACAGTGGTCCCCAAGCAGGACACAGGAGCAGTCCGACAGGCAGAGGCCCGGGCAGTCACAGAGGCTATTGGGGGGCCTTTAGTGCAGACAGCCGGCACTCCAAGTGGTTATCGACTTCTGCTGCTTCTCCGCTCTTCCCATCACTGCTCCTTGCCTCTTAGCCCCTGTAACCTTCTCACGTCCCTCGGAAAGAGCTTTGCTTCCCCACCTGGAGAAGGATGTGAGGCATGGCCTCCGGTGGAGCGAGTTTATAATGTTCCCGCTGCACAGTCGGGGCCCTGCCGTCCAGCTCTCTTCCCCTGCTGATGCCAGCCCTGCCGGGGCCTCAGTACCTGGGCTGAAGCCCACTCAGATGCAGGAGGGGGAGGGAATTACCGCAGCTGGGGTGTCTGGGGCACTTAACGGAAAGCCAGTCTCTATGGCCGGAACGGGACCTCATTAGAAGGGCCGCCGGAGAAAGGTTAGACATCACAGTGAGTTAAAGCCACTGGGAGGAGGATTCGACGTCACAGCTAGTGCCCACCACGTGCTTGTGGTCAGCAGGTTCCATCAGAATTCAGAATTTCCAACTCCGTGCCGCTCCCTCTCACCAGCTTCCGCAGCCCGGGTCCAGCAGCCCGGGGTCCGGCAGCCCCAGGCTCCTCCTACCTCTCTATTCCTGCTTCCTATCTACAGGCTGATGAGTACACGCGGTGTGGGTCTCCAGGCCTGCGTAAGAGTGACATGGCACTCTGGCCTCCACAGTGGAGTGATGCACAGAGGCTCACGAGGGAGGTGACTCACAGTGGATGGGGCAGGTACATAAGGAGAAAACCAGAGAGAGGACAACTAGACCTGTCTACTCTGTGTCTCCCTGCCTGGCCCCTCACAGTCTAGAAGTTTTAGTGCATTTTGCCCCAAAGCAAAAAGCAGCATTTTGCTAGGAATTCCAGGGACCAAAATGGTCTCAATTGCCCCAGAATTCCTGAGGAAGAAACATCCCAGTTCCTTCTCCCACATGATGTTGCTGCCAGAAGCTGACTCTCGGGGGTCCTCTCCGCAGCCCATTTTATCTGCCTCATCCCAAAGGAGGGTCACTTCCTAAAGACTGCCTTTGGCAATGACTGTAAGCACAGGAAAACAACTCAGGAGTCCCTCAGATACCTCACGATGTCCCCCAAACAGAGGAAGCTTATCTCAGAGCCAGAAGGAGAAAAGCCTGCAGAGAGTGGGCTGTGGGGATAAGGTCCGTTTTCCTCACTCATCCCAAGTGAGCACCCACTGAGTAATTATTACAAACCAAGGACTATGCTGAAGGCTGAGGTTAACAGAAGTAAGGGGCACAGTAGCCTTGCTCACCTTGTAAAGACAACACAATGTAGGGAACTAGCAGGTGGGCAGCTGGATGTACCTGTAGACACAGAAATGGGCAGCCAACCCAGCCACTGGGTAAGAGTTTTCCTGGAGAAAGAAACAGGGGAACACCAAGAGAGCAGAAGACACAGGCAAAGTCCTCAGAGACCTGGAACATTCCAGAAGAGCAGAAGGCCTCAGTAGTCATAATCTAGAAGATTGTCTTTACATAAGACAGAGAGGAATCACCTGGACAGAGGCCACAAGTGGTCACTCTTGTAACTTAGAAGACTGGCCTCAGTGAGGAGCCTGCATGGGAAGGCATAAGGGATGATGGACAACTGAGTCAATATGTAGAAGTAGACCAAGACAAGGGGGCAGATCAGATGGGGTAAAGGAGGAGAATCAACAGGATGAGATGTCCTACTGGATATGGGATATACAAATAGTCTGATGACAACCAGCTCCTAGCTAGGACAGCAGAAGGACAGAGGAGCCATGAACAAAGGTAGGGAGTATGTGACCAGAAGCAGGTTGTTGGGGAGTGATTTAAAAGGTCAGGTTACGCCGGGCGGTGGTGGCGCACACCTTTAATCCCAGCACTCGGGAGGCAGAGCCAGGCAGATCTCTGTGAGTTCGAGGCCAGCCTGGGCTACCAAGTGAGTTCCAGGAAAGGCACAAAGCTACACAGAGAAACCCTGTCTCGAAAAACCAAAAAATAATAATAATAATAATAAAAGGTCAGGTTAGGGATGAGGATGCCGATCAGTGGGGAAGTGCTTGATTAGCATGTACAAGGCCCTGGCTCCAAGCTCCAGCCCTGCAAACAACAGTAGTGACCTGTGAGGTTGGAGTTGTGCGTGGTGGCATGTGCCTGGAATCTCCATACCCGGGAACTGGAACCAGGAAGACAGGGAATTCAAGGTCATTCACAGCTACATAGCAATTTTGAGGGCAACCTGGACTACGTAAGATTCCCATGTCAAACAAACAAAACTAAGATCAACTTTGGATTTGCTGAATTTGTGGGACAAATGAGACTACAGAATTTGGGATCCCTGCCTAGATCTCGGAGGTTACAGGTTTAACTATAACAGGAGAATGGAGTGTTAAATGAAGTGGCCCAGCTTGTGAAGGCTAACAGAGATATAAATCAGAGTAGAGCTGAACACGATGAAGGCTCTACCACAACCCAAGCAACTCAGGAGGGAGAGGCCTGAAGGGCTGCCACACGTCTGGGGTCAGTCTTGGGAAGCTCCAGTCCAGCTGGGGCTACAGAGTTAAGACTTACCTCAATACAATCAGTTATTGAAAGACACCTGTGAGTGGAAACGCGGGTCAGAGTTGGTTTTAGTTTCAGTCCTATTCTGCTCTGCTAGTGACATCAGGACCCAGTCTCTCTTTCTGCGCTCTGGCTTTGGCTTCTATGGGATCAGCTTCATCCCGTAGCTGGTTGCCAAGCTAGATGCTACTTCCCCTCCAGATCTAGAGGAAAACCATCCTACTCGAAGATTTCCCAGAGGCAAAAGAAACGTCTTGACCAGAAATGACCAACGAACGTTTCCCCCAGCCTGAGGCTTGAATTTGCTTCCACGCCCACCCTGGAACCACTTTCCCTGACTCGGCTCTGCTTAGGCCAAAGCTGCTTCCGCAGACACAGAGCTCAGGAGACGTTTCCACAAAGTATACAAGCAGAAGAGAATCCTGATATGAAAAACAGAATAGTCACCCTATTATCAAGCGAGACTGTACATGGAGGAGGCAATCTCAGTGTCACAAAGAAACGTGTGTTCCAGAGGGCAGAAGGCTGCCCAAACTAGAGGCCAAAGGACACTCTAAAGTTGTGTTTAAGATGTAGATGCCGGGGTTCCATTCGGAAATTCTTCCTGGAAATTATAATCCCTGGAGGATAGCTGAGCCTTGGACAGACTTTTTTTTAAGGTTTTTGTTTTGTTTTGTCTTGTTTTTTTGAGACAGGGTCTCTCTGTGTAGCTTTGGAGCCTGTCCTGGATCTCACTCTGTAGACCAAGCTGGCCTTGAACTCACAGAGATCCACCTGGCTCTGCCTCCCGAGTGCTGGGATTAAAGGTGTGTGCCACCACTGCCCGCTTTTTAAGGTTTTTTTTTATTCCATGTGTATGAACGTTTGCCTGCCTGCTGCCTACAGAGGCCAGAATAGGGCATCAGGTTCACTAGGACCGGAGTTATAACAGTTGTGAGGCACCATGGGAATGCTGGGAACCAAACTCAGGTCCTGAGGAGGAGCTGTAAGTGCTCTTAATTTCTAAGCTATCTCTCCATAAAAACTATGCAGCTCAGTTAGACTGCGTCTTTGGTTTGGTTTGGTTTTGAGACAAGGTCTTACAAGGTAATCCTGGCCAGCACTTTCTATGAAGACCTAGCTGGCCATGAATCACAGAGATGGCCCACCTCTGCCTCTAGAGAGCTGGGATTAAAGGTGTGTGCCACATCCAAATCTTGAAAGGGCTTTCAGTGATACCTGTGCATGGGTGCATATGTGTGTGCACTCATGTGTATATACACACACAGAGAGACATACACACACTGAAACAATGATGTTCCCAGCAGAGGTCTGTAGACAAGACCCAGAACACATGCTGATGGGAAAAGCAGGATCCAGGGGAGACAGGGTATAATGAAAAAGGGGTTCTCAAAAGGACTCCCCAGAGCCTCTCAGTCATCATCATCAAGATAGGGGAAAGTTGGGGTCTCCACGCATGTGATGATACAGCCACTTAGAAATTTAGGAAAATCACCAGGTCTCAGTTTGGGGTGATAATGAGGGAAAAGAATGAAGAGGAGGAGGTCAGGTGAGGTGGTGCACACCTTGAACTCCAGCACTCGGGAGACTGAGGCAGGTGGATCTCTGGGAGTTCCAGGCCAGCCTGGTCTACATAGTGAGTCCAAGGCCAAGAACTACATAGTGAGATCCTCCCCATCAAAAAAAAAAAAAAAAAAGGTAAGGACACCAATGTGTAAGTGGTCCCAGCAGAGCTAGCCATGGCCAGACATGGGGTAAAAAGCTAGAGTAAGATATTAAAGATGACGAGATATAGAAAAATAGATGACCTGAGAGATACAGCGAGAGGCGCAGTAGACATGAAGTCAGGCCGGATACCCTCAGCAGCCATCCAGGGTGAAGGTTTTCAGGACATGGGGAGGCGTCCCAGTGCGGTCCCAGTCAAGACAACTAGCCATTCGCTGAGGAAGGAGATTGTATATACATGTGTGGGAAACGCTGCAGGCCCCAGCTGGGTCTGCAGGTGGGGAGAGGGGGGCTCAAGAGGAAGGAACTAGAGGGGAAGGGTCCCCCCCCCCCCGCCAATGAAATGGGGCTCTGCTGCTTATAAAAACACACGTGAACGAGAACACAGCCCGGAGGAGTAGCCAAGGGGAACAGGATCCTCGCTCTTCATTTTGGAGGCAACTCCACAGTGGATAGTAATTTTTCTTCTTGAAAGTGAAGTATCTGTAGCGTGAGCTCCAAGAACTTGAACCCCACGGCCCACTGCTTTTCATCCTTGGCTCTGGCTGAATGGGAGACGCTGGGATCCGTTCTGCAGGAGGCCAGACCAAGTTATACTCTTGGCTGACTTCCTTGGCGGATGGGATCGGGTGAAGAAGAATGGGCTAAGAGATGGATGGAGAAGAGGACACACCTGGGGAGGAGGCAGGAAGAAGAAACAGCTCTTCCTAATGCACCTGGAAAAACGTTAGGGGAGGGAGTGGCCAAACGCCTAATCCACGGCCTCTGCTGTCTTGCCCAGGGTCCTTAGGCCAGGAATGTGGGCTCTGGCCTGACTCCAGAGGAAGAAGAAGGTAGGAAGCAGCAGTCTTCTCAGCCAGGGTAAGTCAGAAAAACAAACAAACAAACAAACAAACAAAGAAGGACACCAGTTTGGAGAATACAAACCACCCTGTCTCAGCCTTCTCCAGGGCACTGGCCACATTCAACCCCAAGGTCCACAGTCAGAGGACTAGAGACTTTGAATGGCAAATGCCGATGCTCAGCGCTTTGGCCTTGCCCTCTGTCCTGGAAGCAGCATGTTCTGCAGATTCTGGACTCGGAAAATGCTCAAGGAGAGCTCAGTCCCTAACCTCTACCAAGCACCAGGAGGTCACAAGGTCAGAGGCAGCCTTTTGCCCCTTCCTGCCCCCTCACTGGGCACTAAGAATAACCTCCTGCTGGGGATGAGGCAGGCTAAAAAAAGATTTAATTACAGTTTCTGTTTCTGA